TAATTTATTCAATTTCGCACCTCTACCATTGGTATAAATTAATTTACTTTTCGCACAAATATTTTTTAACTTGAAAATGGTGCCAGGATGACACCGAAACGTCGTTGCTCAGTTTTTTCGCTAATCTTTATCGTTAACTGTATTTCTTTAAAGCTGTTGAAAAAAGAAAAAAAATGATGTTAGTGCACGTAAAACTCTTGCTTACGTAGTTTACAGCGAGCACTAAAAGTCCCTACGGGACTTTAAAACAACAGTTTGTTTTAGATATGAAAGACTTATGTTAAGGGTCTTTTATTTTAATCTTATTACCTAAATATCTCTATTTACTCATTCCAGGTTATAATCGAGGGTGTGGCTGGCATGGCATTCGTTTCTAACATCGCCGTTGATGACGTCACTTTCAGCACGAACTTGACTTGTGTGTCATTTGGCAAACCAACGCCACCTGAAACATTTGAAGGTAATGTTTTCCTTACTCGAAGTTACTCGTGTTCCTCTTCATTTACCTCGCGTTATACTCTGTACTAGACGCAATCCTGATCGCAAATACCAGGCAATCAGAATATTTCATAAGGAACTGAGTTTTCTTCTTAATTCTCACCGCAAAGCTGTCCGTAGCTAGCAGTCAATACTCAGTTGTGAATGAAGAGATCCCTGTTCATAAGGTTAACTTTTAACTCCTAGTTATCTGTTTGAATTTTTAATTCTAGTGAACTGTACCTTCGATGAGAGTTACTGTGGATGGCGTAAGATTTTAACACCGCCCAATGACCGAATCGGTTGGTGCCGAACGAGATCTGGAAACCAAAGCCAAGGGAATGGACCGAGTCAGGATCACACAGGTAACCAAAACATATTAATGACAATGTAGGGGGTCTAAATTGGTGGGATGGAAAGAGGGTTACCTTCTCTTCGCAATCCGCCGTAGGAAAAAAGATGGCGACTGGTACATTTACCCATAGTTCTTAGCGCACGGAAACTTAAACAACGCTCATAAAAACGTACAGAAAAGTTCTAAAACCTTCAAACCTAAACGACACAATGTCGTTCGCACATGAAAAATACTGCAAAAATATGGCTTTCCTTGTACTTTACGGGCTGTATAAGGTTCGCATGGTATTGTGGTAAAATGTACAGCCGCCATCTTTTTCCTACGGAGGATTGTGAAAGGTGTCATTGGGGTTTAAACGAGAGAGGGACTGTTTTAGACAACGAAGAGTTTGTTTGCAGTTTAACAGAAGTCAAGTGTTTGTAATTTAATCAGAAAATATACTGTTTTCTCAGTGTGGTGCATTCCTCGCCGTATAGTGACTTTTCTTCAGCATGCCTCTTATTCTTTAGGAGGTGGAGAGTATATTTACGTAGAAGAATCACAATCTGCGCAAGTGAATCAGTTTGCACAGCTGTTGAGTCCGCTCATCCGGGGCCCGAAATGTCTCCGCTTCTATTACTACATGAATGGAAGCGATATTGGAAATCTTGATGTGTTACTTTGGCCTCGAGAACAGCAACACAGTTACTTGATGTGGCGAAGGTCCGGTAAACAGGCTCATCAATGGATGAAGGCTAGTGTCGATGTTGGCTACACTGGCGAGTTCCAGGTAGGTGGGGAGTAGATTTTTCAGGTTCTTATATGTTCTGAAGGTATTTTTGAGATGCGGGCAGATCGAAGAAAACTCGGATACGGAGAATAGTAATGGTAAATCTTAAAGGAACAATCATGATTTTACATAAGAAAGATATAGGTTTCTCGATACAGTTTTTTCTGGACCATACCAAGCATTTTCAATCAGCTCCTCGTTTCATTATCGTAACGATAAGAAAATTTCATCGAAAATCAGCCAAACGTTAAATTATAGAAGGAGTGATCGTAAGATCAAGTCTAGCTCTCGAGATCGCGAAAAAGAGTTCCAAAAAAGTTTATACTGAACACTGAAATGTTTTTATTGCAGTTTTCCTTCCAAGCAACAATTGGCAGAAACTATGCTGGGGGTATAGCTTTAGATGACGTCACATTAAGTAGTGGACTTTGTGAACACGAAAGTGAACCCCAGAACAATCGACAAGGTATTAATGTTACCTGTACTACATATGGTAATTTATTTCTCTGTGATATAAATGTGTTAAGTGTAGAATGAATAATGTTAAATAACCATGCACGACCATCTACTATTAAGGTGTTACTAAATTTGACCATCTGCCTATCGTTTATTTTTCAAGGAAATTGCAACTTTGACAGCAACTTTTGCTTCTGGAGGAATGATTTAAATTTTAATTTCACATGGACTCAACGAAGATATAATACTCCAAGCTCGGGGACTGGACCAAGCGCCGATCATACATCAGGTGACGTCAGGTTTACAGTCAGGACACTCAGCTATCATGAACACATGAACACATTTTTTTGTACAGGTTTTTTGGCACTCTAGAATGAAAGCTCTTCGTATAATGTACAAGGTTAACCTATTAACTGTGTAAAAGAATATACTGAGTTAAAATGTAAAATACATTTGTTAATATGAAGAGCTAGAAAGTGTCAAGTGTTGACTGTTGGAATGCCCTCACTATAGCTCTCTAACGTGATACCCGCTTCTGTGATATGCAATGACATTGTTTCTTTAGTTCCCAGTGTTTCTATAGTTCTAGATTACTCAAGCGTGGTTGTCTCGCTTAACTCAAGATAATGGCTTTGTTATTCCTTGTTATGTGGAAACATAACAAGGAATGGTAAATTTTGAAAGAAAGAAAAAGGAGAGCAAACAGACAGAAACTTATCACAATACCCGTAAATGTCATCAAAATTGCAATTACTTTTACTAATAATTTTTTTTTTTAATCAAGGAACTGGTATGTACATTTATCTTGAAACCTCTAGTCCACGACAGCTAGGAGACACTGCGCGACTTGAAAGTCCTTGGATGCAGGGACCGCAATGTATGACGTTCTTCTACCACATGTATGGCGCCACCATGAGCTGTGTTGTTGTATACATAAAATTCCAGGCTACAAACAGGTTAAAACCTGTTTGGTTGAGGTGTCGAGATCAAGGAAACCATTGGATACAAGGAAAGATAAGCATCAACGAGACTTCAAGTTATCAAGTGAGTTGTAAAATGTTTGTTTTACAGCGTTTGATAAAAAGAAAAATGATCAGATATGAAATAAAATGTGTTGCCCTTAGGCCAGCAAATATACAGGGCATTCGTTTCTATCGTTGGTCACAAAGTGTGCAAGGAAAAATAAGCATTAACGAGACTTGTGAGTTGTAGATGTTTAATGTTTTCAATTGTCATGCTGTCAGCCTCTGGCCAACAGACCTAACATTTCGCTGTTATTATCAGTCACAAAGTATAATATTGACTGCTCGACCTGGGGGAATATATCTTGTAAACAAGGCTACTTTTCTTTGTTGTTCATTACTAGATAAGTGTTGACGGAATTAGAGGTAGCAGTGATAAGGGGGATGCAGCACTGGACGACCTTTCGTTTGAAAGAGGAACTTGTAATCAAACAGGTAGTAATAGTGTACCTACCGTTATTTCATGGTATCGATTTCTCAGTCCATTTCAACTACCCCAAGAATTGCTTATATCTGCATGTTGTCAATTAACTTATAACGCGTCTGCCAACTAACCAAACAGGTAATTAACTTGTTCTCCTGTTTCTCGCTTAACTTTGGGTATTTTTTGCGTTGATTTGCATCGTTTTCAGCGTAGCACTGTGTCTTTACGATTATTTATTTTAATCGTGAATCTTGTTGTCCATGTCAGCGAGTAAATGGAAACACTACGCCTATTAATATTAATCTAGATATATTTAGAAATCAGATTGTATAAAGTTACTCAATGCATTTCTTTATTCCTGGATATTTCATTTGCAGAAGAGACGATATACTACGTGTACTCTTACAATGGCAAAGACTTTCGAATTTTCACTCAACCCTCCGAACACAGTCTGTACTTCGAAGAATTCCGATTCACTCTCGGGCATCCACGAGGAAATCCGAACGAGACAGCATACTTTATCTACTCTGAAGCTTCAAGCGGTGAAAGTTTTGTCACATCACAGTTGGATCCTTCTAGCTATGACAGATTTCCATTAGATGTTGTCCTCCTAAATAAGGAGAGAGTGGGAAGTAATTCCAGGAGAGTTTATTTGATCGACAGGAGTAATTATGGACCAATGATTAGCCTCTATGATCACGGAAATGTGATTTGTTGCAAAGCAAAACAAACTTTCTCTTTTTATGCTCACAGTGTCACTGAAGGTAAGGAAAAAGTTTCTATATTTTTTGAAGCAGGTTCCAAAAGGAAAATTGAATGACTGGACGGTTATTCAATGGATATCAAAAATCGAGACAAGACTCTACTTTTATTATGAAAAGTTATTTCAGCGTCCAGGATGCTTCAAAACTGGAGTTCAGAGTGTTTATCTCGCATGTTCAAAAATGTTGTTCCTAGAAAGAAGGGTTCTGTCCCAAACCTTAAAGGATAATCTTTGATCTCTGATTGGGGATCATGTCACGCTATGTTTCTGCCGAGTTGTCGTGAAAACCATTGGTAAACAATGTAAGTGACACGTGGCTACCTCCTCTTTAGGTTGGCTAGTCAATTATTGAGTTCTAAAACGTTTTTAGAAAGAATCAACATTAAATGTGTGTTTCGGGTCTGGCAGCGTGATTATTATTTTTTGGGCGGCGAGGTGTGAAGCCCTCCACAGTTCCCCGTTTTTCCTTTCCTTTCTGCTCCTTACATTTCTTATTACATGTTTTGTTTCTCACTCAATGACCTTTGAAGCGAACAGACCTGCTTTACCTGATGCCTTTCTTTTTTACATTTTGTGTTTCATACAACATATGATGTCACGCATGTCATACGTGTATGCCATCCATGGAACACATGGATGTCACGCACGTGTCATTTTCATATAGCGTGTAATAGATGTTGGTCTGGTCATGCTGAATGGTCCTCTGAATGGTCGGGGATAAATTTTACAAGATAAATCTGACGACTAAAAAGTAGCCCTTACTACTTGTTGCATATTTTGTCTGTTGTAGAGTTTTCGGGACAGGCTCTCGGAGTTTTGCGTGAAGTGTGGTATCAGGTAAATAACCTTCAAAGCGGAGTAGCAACTATTCGCGAACAGCCCGTTTTCAAGACTCCACCTCACAGCCAGATGATTTTGCGGGATTTCGATGCACCAGTCGACGTAGCAGACTATTACGTTCAACGATTAACAAGCTACATACAGGTAAACGTTCGATTTACCATTAAAACGCGCTTCAAAAAAAGTGGTAATGGAGAAGCAGTTTCTTTGTATTTCTGTCGGGCAACTGGCTATGCCTTAACCTTTTGAATACTAACATTATTGTTGGGAGTTAGGATGCTACTGCTACTATACCAGCAACTGCCAAGTGATTTTTAATTAGTACCGTTTGCCATAAGAATGGCACGTTCTTCCCCGACATGACGAGCTTTGACCCGCAAAAAAAAATATGCAAATTAGGCTGAGTGTGGATTCCCGCCCGCATCTCGCAGAATTTATGCCAAGATTTCGCTTTGAATGGAACTTACTGAAAGCAAAAAGCAGCGATTTCAAAACGAAGCGATAAGTTTCATATTTAGTCCCGCTTTCCAGTGTATAACCGCGTAACAGCGAACTATTAAATGTCCAAATTAAGGCCGCCTTGCCACTACTGTTTTAATAAACTCGACGGGTTTTTAGCCTGCGAACAGGCTCCCGGTGAGCCCGAACGATTCGATTGTCCGATCATTGTCAAAGAGTCACGGTGCGCTAATAATTTCGAACCGTGGTATGGATTATTTAGCATTGTGTTAGAACTGAGAAAATAATCAGCCGGCAAACAACTCATAATGTTCTGTCGACAGATACGCGAAGGCTTAATTGACAACTCTTTACACTCCGCAGATCAGGAGGCGGATCATTTTCTTGCATCCCGCTGAGAATTTTTTTCGCGGTCAAAGCTCCTCATGAAGAGTTATGAAAATAACGCCTACGGAGTGGTATTACAACAAAACTTTGGTTGAGTATTCGCAGCAATCAACACATATGTGTTTCTGTTCCTTGCTTTTAGGTCCCTGATAGTGGTAATTATACATTTTACCTGTCATGCGATGATTGGTGTGAATTGTGGAAGTACGATGTAGATGAGTTTGGTATGGAAAACCAGAACAAGAAATCTGAGGAGAGCTTAACCAAGAAACCAATCATTGCTCTTTATGCATGGACTGGGCGTCTCCAGTGGAACAAGTGAGCGACACACAAACATTTCTTTGAAAGTTTCTTTTTGAACTTGAATATTTTTACGTCAGTTACCCGGGATGTTTTCCTCTATCTTACCCTTCTGTCTCCCTTTTTTAAGATACCGACAACAAATGTCGCAACCAATTTTTCTCGTCAAAAGTCATATTTATCAAATGGAGGTCTTTATGCGTGAAATTTGGCGTGGAGACCACGTATCTGTGGGCATGCGCACACCAAGTGGAAAGTATGAACGCCCTATTCGTGGAAGAAGACTGTTTTGGATTAAACCAGGTAACACTGCAGTGTTCTTATTTTAAACCCGACCATGTATTTACCATTATTAAAAGAAACCTTGACTGTCATGAATCTAGTGCTTTGCGACGCAAGAAAAGACTGAAAAGATTCTATGGGGCAAGTTTAGCGTTAGGTAAAGAATTACTTAAATTGAAAAAGTTTCTCTTGGTCATCCACGGGGAAATCCGAACGAGAAAGCGTACTTTATCTACTCTGAAGCGTCCAGCGGCTAAAGTTTTTCGCGCTAAATTAAATCCTTCCAAAGTTAAATCTTTCCAACTGTAACAATTTTCCATGAGATGTTGATGTTTTAATCAACAAGAAAGTGGGCCGCAATTCCAGAAGGGTTTACAGGAGTAGTTCGCCTCCGTTTGCTCGGAAATTGCATATTCTACTTGTCATACTACATAGTTTAAGACATTGATATTAACTTTTTTATATCGCATTTGGTTCGTGCAAAATTCATGTTAAACCGGTTTTAAAATATCGGTTGCCTTAGGAAATACATAATACCAAACTTCAATCCATTTTCAAGTACTGCCGGTGTAACTTTCACATTGATCTAATGAAAAGAAGACTAGTGACAAGCTGTTTGAAAAGTTTTGGTATGGTCCAAAAAAACTGTATCAAGACACCGTAAATATAGCGCAGTTGCCTGACAAGCTTTATGATTATGCGTTGTGATTGGTTTGTTCATTGTATTTATTTTTGTTTTACTTTCTTTCATGCAGTAAGTTCATTGTCACAGAGTAATATGACACAAAGTTCAAGTGTTCTGTTACCATTTGATCCCCTAATGGCCATTGATAGATCTTACGCCACTTGCTATCGTTCCGAAAAGGTAAGAAATAGTGCAAGAGTAAACATACAAATGAAACAAAATAAACGAAACGAAACCGAGGAGAGGGAGGCTTGAAGCTGGGACCTCCGGATTACAATACCAGCGGCCTAAACTATTCGGCCACATTCCCTCATTACAGTCGCCTCAAACATAACATTCGCTTGTCATATATGAACACAAATGGTGGGAGTGTTGCATGCGGTGATGGTGGAGACAAAGTGTACCGTGTCAGCTTTTCCTTACAGGCGTTATAGTTTCTTTTCCATCAGTTTATTAGAAGTTTAATCAATTAAACTGTGGTTGATGTTCTGTTTGCTTCACATCCTCGTCACAGCATTATTGGCTCGTAGCCAGTCCTGCCAAATCACGTCCGTTAGTATGCAGTAGGTCAGATTCAATGTCTGACTATTTTGAATATTTGTTTCTGTATGGAAACTCGTGTGACAAAGCTCCCAGTGGTTTACCCCATTAATACATAGATCTAGCAAGGCCTAAAAGCGGAGCTCCTGGGCCGGGTTGTTCAAAGCGCGATCACGCTAACACAGGATAAGCGAGAATTTTGATTTGAGTTTTGTAACTTTGCGGTCAGGTGTTCTGTATATTGTTTGGCCTTCTGTTTTGAGTTTTAATAATCTCAAACTGCACGAAACAAAAGCAGTGAAAAACATGTGAAAACAAGACATAGACATACTTTATTTAACGTGGAAAAGTACACACTTAGCTGTTCGCTAGTTTCCAGGTGCTC